TTGCTTATCTTATAAATAAAAATGTTGATAATTGTGGAGAGCATTTTCTGTTGCTTCATATTTAGGGAAAGTATGTAATTTAAATTCTTAAGCCCCTTGTGTAGGCTTCCTTGTAATTCATGAGGACTCTGGATATAGATTTACAAGTCCATTTAATAATCAAGTTCCCCCAATTATGTGGTTACAGGGGGAACTGAGGTTATCATAAGAATATTTACTTCATGATATAGCAGTTAAAAAACAAGTACCCATTTAAATATGCCAGAATCTACTTTTCTCTCCCATTGTCTGTTGGTCTTTTCCTGATTGTTATATTTCAAACAATATACTATAATTCAGTGCTTACCCCTGGGAACATGAAATTTCTTATCTTGCAAAGGATGTAGAATTTCACAAAACCCTGAGAGTGATGTTTACTAGTAGAATTGATTACATATAAAATCATTGGAAAATGAGGATTTGATCGAGTTTAAACTAGTTATCAATTAGAGAAAAGAAAATAACAGAAATGATGACATGATAGGTACTTTGAAAAATTATGTATCTCACATGACTAAGGAAAGGCTCTTGGGAAAAGCGATAAAGCCCTTGAATATCATACAGGAAATTAGCCTTTTTATGATTATAGTACAAAACTCAAGTATGAAGTAAAGATGCAATATTCTGATGTCATAATTTCATTTTAAAGATTATGTTAAAAAAAACCCCAAACATTTAATTTATTCTTGTTCTAAGAATTTGCACATCTATAATAATAAGAGCCTAATATGCTAATTAGACGAGATGTCCTTCTGGATGTCATTCCTTCTGGACAAAGCCGCAGCAGGCAGGGGCTGAGGCAGAGGCAGCGGCAGCAGAGGCCCCGGCTGCAGCCCCCAGCTGTGGTGGCAGCAGGCAGGGGCCAAGGCAGAGGCAGCTGCCACAGTAGTGGGGGCCAAGGCCCTTGCACGAATTTCGTGCATCGGACCTCTAGTAGTTAAATAAATGTAAGAAAGGCTAATTTCCATGATTTTTAGTTATTTTTAGATAACTACTCAACACTTTCTTTCCCTTGTACAATGAAATGTTGGTTCCTGTTTAAGAAAACTCAATTTCAATTACTGTCATTTTTTACCAGTTATCTTCTGATAATGAAGACCTCAATTTATCTATATGTCAATTTATCAAGAGTTATTCTAGTCATATGTTGGGGTTTGATGGGGACATACAGAGAAGTTCTATAATTCAGAAACTCATAGATTTCAGTGTGTGTGGAGTGTCTCCTGTTTATTAGGGACTATGGAGTTAAAAACATATTACAATTATTAACTAATTAGGCTAGACTGAGTTTTCATTTGAGAGGATGGACCAGAACTCCAAAAACTTGTCTAAAACTTTACATTCACTGCATCTGCTTACTTTGGGGTAAGAACTGTAGATAATTTAACCAGTCTCCTAGTCTACATTTTTCTATAATTTATCTACTTTCTTTACCAATCATTCTCTAATACCAAATTTTAAAAAAATTGATTTTAGAGAGGAAGGTGGGGGGAGGAGAGAAAGAGAAACATTGATTTGTTGTTCCATTTATTTATGCATTCATTGGTTGATTCCTGACCAGGATTAAACCCGTAACCTTTTTGGGGACGACACTCTAACCAACTGAGCTATCCGGCCAGGGATCTAATACCAAAATTTTTTGTTGTTGTTAATCCTCACCTGAGGAAATTTTTTGAGAGGATATTCATTGATTTTTAGACAGAATGAAAGGGAGGGGGAGAGACAGAGAGAGAGAAATATTGATGTGAGAGCAACACTGTGATTGGTTGCCTCTTGCACACTCCCAGACTGGGATCGTGGATGGAGCCTACAACTGAGGTGCATTGTGCCCATGACTGGAATTGAAGACAGGACCCTTCAGTTGGCAGGCCAATGATCTAACCATAGAGCAACCTGCTAGGGCTCTAATACCAAAATTTTTAACAGGTAATACTTTGAGGCAAAAAAATGAGAAACCTAAAGTCAAAGTATTGAAGTTTTCATCAAGGTAGATTTATTCAATTCAAAATTATTAGCTTTTGTTTTAAGATTATATTCATTCTTGGTTTTAAAATATGCTTTCATGTAACAATGGTAATTTTTTCAATAACCTTATTGACAAAAATTTAAAACCTGATTACTCACTTTATTTTTTATGAAAATCCAAGAGTTTTGGAACCTAGCCAACTAAGAGATCTTTCTGAAATTCTTATTTAATTATGTCACTGTCTTGCTTTAAATCCTTCAGGGTAGACTACTGTGACCTACAGCAATATAATACCACTGGGGTTTTCAATACATATGTGCATTATTTTCTCTAGATTAAACAAAATACCTTATTCATATTTTTTCCCTAAATTTTCAAATGTATAAAGATACTCTTATGATGATCAATTTATTTTAAAAGTTTGACTGACTTTCAGTAGCCTTTTGTCATTATATTTTTTTTAATTATATAATTCCTATCATGTGTGGAACACATTAAAATGCCTCATCAGTAAAGATAAAACTATAAGGGGAAAATTTGATTTGATAATAATTAAAATTTTGATACAGTAAGAAAACATATAAACCACATTGAAAGATAGAATATATGTAGCCAGAACCGGTTTGGCTCAGCGGATAGAGCATCGGCCTGCGGACTCAAGGGTCCCGGGTTCGATTCCGGTCAAGGGCATGTACCTTGGTTGTGGGCACATCCCCAGTGGGGGGCGTGCAGGAGGCAGCTGATCGATGTTTCTCTCTCATTGATGTTTCTGGCTCTCTATCCCTCTCCCTTCCTCTCTGTAAAAAATCAATAAAATATATTTAAAAAAGAAAGAAATATATGTAGAAAATATATTTAATACACCGTATTTGAAAAATTAAGATATATAATTGTTACCATGAAGAGACTTTATCACTCAATAATAAAAATAATACTGCAAAAGGAAAATCAGTAAGGAACATTGATAGCAATTCACAAAAGAAATATAATCTTCCAATTAATATGAAAAAAGTTCATCTTTACTAAAAAGAAAAGTTTTAACCTAAAACAAAATGATTTTTGCCCAGTTGGTGTGGTTCAATGGTTGAGCATCAACCTATGAACCAGGATGTCAGGGTTTGATTCCCGGTCAGGGCACATGCCCACATGGTTAAATTATCTACAGTGGGCTACCAGTACATCCCCAGTTTGGGGCGTGCAGGAGGCTCAATGATTCTCATTGTTGATGTTTCTCTCTTTCTCTTTCCCTTCCTCTCTGAAATCAAGTTTTTTAAATAGGTGTTTTTTTTCCTGGCACTTAGCAGAATTTAAAAATATCTGTGTGGCAAGGGTTTGGAGAAATGGACTCTCCTCACTGCTGGTGGAACTACATATTGGTATGTTCTTTTGGGGATAATTTGACTATATGTATCAAAAGCCTTACATTTTTAAAAATCCCTTTTTACTTAGCAATACATTTTTCTGGAAATGCACTTAGAAAAATAACTAGGGATGTGGGTAATATTTGGCTGTTAGGGGATTTGTCAAGGTGTGGTTTTTTTATAAAATATATATTTTTATTGATTTCAGAGAGGGAGAGAGAGGGAGAAACAACAATGATGAGAGAGAATCATTGACTGGCTGCCTCGTGCACGCCCCACTCTGGGGATCAAGCCCACAACCTGGGCATGTGTCCTGACCGGGAATCAAACTATAACCTCCTGGTTCATAGGTCAACACTCAACTACTGAGCCACGCTGGCCGGGCCATCATAGTATTTTATAATAGTAAAATATTGAAAGCAATCTAAATAGCTTACAATTGCATTTTAGTTTTAAAAAGAAAAAAGATTATGGTTTATTTATACAGTGAATGCTACTCAGCTATTAAGAATGATTTTGTCAATAAATCTTTAATGAGGTAGCAAAATATTTATGAGATAATATTAGGTTTGAAATACAGGAACAGCAGTTATTTTTGGTGGTGGAATTTTTTTCTCCATTAAAAAATATTTTCAATGGGCATGTATTTATAATTAAGAAATAATTATTGGGAATCATTATAGAATAAATCCATGATATATTCTCTACTTGTCTCTACTTTTTCATACACAGCACTCCTACAAGTCTCTCAGAGTACATCCTTACATGCTTCTATATAAGGAGTTCCTGCTCATCTTTTAAAGTCAGTTCAAATGAGTTCCTGCTCATCTTTTAAAGTCAGTTCAAATGACACCACCATGAAGTCTTTCCTAACCACTTTGTTTTCTCTGCTAATTCCACACAATTATCTTGCATAATTATTTACATGTACTTATAATGTCTTTTCCACCAGGCAGTGAACTCCTATCTCATTCATCCATTTAATAAGTATTTGTGAGTGTTTATTATGTGCCTGGCACAAGTGTGTTAGGTACTGCAGATCTAACCATGAACCATACAGACAAGTTCCCCCTGCCTTCAAGAAGATAGCATGACGAAGTACATTGAAATATTAGGCTGTGTAATAGAAGTGTAGAATGCTTAGAAGATCCATAAACCTCTCCCAGGCTGGATGGAGAGGGAAGGCTTCGTGGAGGGGATAATAGATGAATAGTAGCAAGAAAACAAATGTTAGCCAGGTGAAGGAAGGGTAGGAGGAGGTAGTTTCAGGTAGCAGAACAGCCCAAACAAAGGCCTGAAATTTTAAAACCATGTTAAGTTTCAGGAAGGTCATTGTGGTGTTTGTGGATATTGAGGTTGATTTCTGATAGAAAATAATTATATATAATTTTATCTTGAAAGAAGCTCCAGAATTCATATCTTCTGCAAGAGTTTAGGAAGTTTTATGAAAAAGCATATGTTAGAGCAGTGATGGCGAACCTTTTGAGCTCGGTGTGCCAGCATTTTGAAAAACCCTAACTTAACTCTGGTGCTGTGTCACATATAGAAAATTTTTGATATTTGCAACCATAGTAAAACAAAGACTTATATTTTTGATATTTATTTTATATATTTAAATGCCATTTAACAAAGAAAAATCAACCAAAAAATGAGTTTGCGTGTCACCTCTGACACGTGTGTCATAGGTTCGCCATCACTGTGTTAGAGAAAGCATCCCAGTGTTGAATTAGGCAGAAATTCAAGTGTGATTGGTATATTTGTTATTTTTTAAGTATTTGTATAAAAAATATTCTCAATAAGGATTAAAAAATTAGTGTGAAATAATTAAAAGTTTGAATTGAAAGGGGTATTTTAATTCTCTATCTTGTAATTTTTTTTTAATTGTTTTATTGCTTAAAGTATTACAAGTAGTATTACATATGTCTCCTTTTTTTCCCGCCTATCTTGTAATCTTGACTGGTCTTAATAAAATGGTGCGAGGCGAGATTATTTGGAGAATGCCTTTGAATTAATAGATGAAAATGATAGCATTTTAATAGCAATTTTTGCATATGCATGTGTTCTGAAAAGAAAGAGATGTTACTTGTAGCAGAGTAAAAATTTCTCATAATTTTTAACCCTTTACGTTTAACATGTCTTCCTTGGAAATTGTCTTCAAAATCTCTTCTGTCTCCTATTAAATTGTTTCTCACCATTTGTTTTTCCTATACAGATTTTAAAGTTCTTTTTTCTCTTTACAACTGTACTCCAAACACCTATTCCTATTTCCATTTCCAAATAAAAATCAATATTGTAGCCCTAACCAGTTTGGCTCAGTGGATAGAGTGTCGGCCTGTGGACTGAAGGGTCCCAGGTTCGATTCCGGTCAAGGGCATGTATCTTGGTTGCAGGCACATCCCCAGTAGGAGGTGTACAGGAGGCAGCTGATCGATGTTTCTCTCTCATTGATGTTTCTGGCTCTCTATCCCTCTCCCTTCCTCTCTGTAAAAAATCAATAAAATATATTTTAACAAAAATCAACATTGTAAAGCCAATGGATAAAATTGCAATGTGGCCCTCATTAAATCAGTTTCTTTCTCTGTGATTATGTGAATGATATTTACTATTTGTTGTATATCAGAATGATTGGGCTTATACAGTGAGTTTGTAGGCCTTTTTTGTTTGTTTTCTTGATTAGGTAATATGGTTTCTCAAGATTTCTTAAGTAAGAGATTAAATAAACCAGTTTTTCTTTTCTGCTTTGTAGATTTCTTGATAACCGGCTGTTTGCTACCTGCTCTGATGACACTACAATAGCACTATGGGATCTGAGAAAATTGAACACCAAAGTATGCACTTTACATGGTCACACTAGCTGGGTGAAGAACATCGAATATGATACTAATACAAGACTCTTAGTAACATCAGGATTTGATGGAAATGTCATTATTTGGGACACCAACAGGTTTGTGAATAGGAGATCATTTTAGGATTTTTTTAAGATGGTAAACAAATTCAGTGTTCTGTCTCAACTTTTATATCTCTTTAGGAGAAAGAAACTGGTTTTGTGGGGGGACAAAAACAATCAAAGTGATTCTATCTTTTGTTGCTTGCACATAGAGAAATTTCTATGGAAAGGAGACCAAGTAGCATAGTTAATTATGAAAAAATGGTTTATAAGATAAGTTTCCTGAACTGAAGTGTTTTTTACTCTTTTGTCCTTTAATTCTATTTTTTTTTCCACTTTTCCCCCCACTTTTTTTTTAATCCTTACCTGAGGATATTTTTCCATTGATTTTTAGAGCAAGTGGAAGAGAGAGGGAAAGACAAAGAGAAACATCGATGTGAGAGAGACACAATGATTGGTTGCCTCCTGCACCTGCCTCTGAGTCAGGGAGGAGACTGCAACTGAGGTACATGCCCTTGACCGGAGTCGAACCTAGAACCCTTCGGTCTGCAGGCTGACACTCTATCCACTGAGCCAAACCAGCTGTCCTTCAATTCTAAATCTGTTTTTATTTGGCCATTTGTGCACTTCGTCTTCATCATTCAAAGAGTAGTCAGTCTCTATTGGGGTGGTACTGATCCCTAGGAGAATGTTTGGAAATAATGTGTGGTACAATTTTAGTTGTCACCATGGAAGAAGAGAAGAGGAGTTCCACTGGCATTTAGTTAGCCAGGAATAAGAGTTTCTAAACATCCTGAAGTACATGGGAGAGTTTGCATAATGGACTAATTGTATCACCTAAAATGTCAGTGATGCCTCTGTTTTGAAACACTAATAAAATGTCTCCTTATAGAGAAATTGATTATTCAAAGAGTTGAGATCTGAGAAATAATTAAATATATCTGTTGCTAGCTATGGTGAAATAACAATATAGTAATACACCAGGATCATTTCTGAAATACTCTTTCAGAGGTAGTATGTAAAAAGAAAAGGAATATTCTTAAAGATTTCTAGCTATGCATGTTGCTTGAGCAGGGGATAGAGCTACATACTGATTATCTTTTTTATTTTTTTAAAGGTTTTTTATTTTTATTTTTATTTTGTTACTGATTTCAGAGAGGAAGAGAGGGAGAGAGAGATAGCCGAAACCAGTTTGGCTCAGTGGATAGAGCGTCGGCCTGCGGACTGAAAAGTCCCAGGTTCGATTCCGGTCAAGGGCATGTACCTTGGTTGTGGGCACATCCCCAGTGGGAGATGTGCAGGAGGCAGCTGATTGATGTTTCTCTCTCATCGATGTTTCTAATTCTCTCTCTCTCTCTCCCTTCCTCTCTGTAAAAAATCAATAAAATATATTTTAAAAAATATATCAGTGATGAGAGAGAGTCATTGATTGGCTGCTTCCTGCATGCCCCTTATTGGGGATCGAGCCCACAACCCGGGCATGTGCCCTTGACTGGAATAGAACCCAGGACCCTTCAGTCCACAGGGTGACACTCTATCCATTGAGCCAAACTGGCTAGGGCCATATTGATTATCTTTAGACTAAGACAAACATACCTGTTAAAATTTTTTAAATTTAGAAATAAAATTTGAATCTATATATATAAAAGCCAAGAGACCAAAATGACCAGAACAACCAGAACAATCGGTCACTATGACGCGCACTGGGGAGGCCAACCGGCCTGATCGGGACCCTGATCGGCCCCTACCAACCTCCTGTGCCCCCCCTCTCCCCCCCACTGGCTGGCCCGATCGGCCCCCATTGCGGCGGGCTGGCCAGACCCCACCTGTGCATGATTTCGTGCACCAGGCCTCTAGTAAGAATATAAATGATAACTTCCAAATTAGTAGAAGGATAAAAGTTAATAAAATATCAATTCAATAGAGGTAGAGAAGATGGGGAAAAATCATTTTAAAAACACAGGTAGCCCTGGCCAGGTGGTTCAGTTGGTTTGATTGTTGACCTGTATACCAAAAGATTGCAGGTTTGATTCCTGGTCAAGGCACCTACCTATGTTACAGGTTTGATCCCTGATCAGGGCACGTTCGGGAGGCAACCGATGGATATTTCATCTCACATTAATGTTTCTCAATGCAGTTATATAATTCCTATCATGTTAAAATGCCTCATCAGTAAAGGTAAAACTTATAAGGGGAAAAATTGATTTGACAATATAATAATTAAAATTTTGGTACAGTAAGAAAACATATAAACCACATTGAAAGATAGAAATATATGTGGAAAATATATTTAACATACTGTATTTGAAAAATTAGGCACAAAATATGGTAGGCAGATAATATATCTATCAATAATCACAGTAAATGTATATGGATTAAACTAGTCAGTTAAAAGATAATAATAGATTGAATTATAAAACAAAACCCAACTATATGTTCTATATAAGGGACATATCCAAACCAAACAAACACAGAACACTTGGAAACCAGACAAGCACAGAAAATGATGGGAAAAAATAACAGGCAAATACAAATAAAAGAAAAACAGTTGTATTTACATTAATAGCAGACAAAATAGAGTTGAAGGCATAAAGCATTATTAGTGATAAAAAGGTACTATATTAAAAGATTTATTTCACTAGAATATTAGTCTTCTTATCTGGTATGCACCTAATAACAGCCTCAAACCATAAAAAGCAAAACCAAACTGAATTACAAGAAAAAAGTCAGAATTACCAACTTAGTGGAAAATATTAACACCACTCCTTCATTTACTAATAGATAAAATAGACCAAATATTAGTAAGAATTAAAGACTATTTCAATCTTATTAATAAGCTTGATCTATTAGGCATATTTTATAATTCTGCTCCCAACAAATAGTGAATACATCATCTGAAGCAAACTTAGAATATGTACAAAAATGAGCATGTACTGAACTACAGAGTAAGTCTCAGCCAATATCAAAAAACTGTTATTACACAAACCATTTTCCCTGACCTCAATATAGATTCATTTATTTATTTATCCTTACCTGAGGATATTTTTTTCCATTGCTTTTTATTTCATTAATTTTTTAAAATTTTTTTGTTAATCCTTACCTGAAGATATTTTTCCATCGATTTTTAGAGAGAGTGAAAGGGAGGAGGGAGAGACAGAAAGAAACATCAATGTGAGAGAGACACATCAATTGGTTGCCTCTTATCTGCACCCCAACCAGGGCTGGGGATCGAGCCTGCAACCAAGGCACACGCCCTTGACCAGAATCGAACTTGGGACCCTTCGGTCTGTGGGTCGACGCTGTATCCACTGAGCCAAACCAGCTAGAACTCAAAATGGATTTCAACCTGAACATAAGAGCTACACCTATACAATTCTTAGAAGAAAACATGGGAGTAAATCTTCATACAACACTAAAGCTGAGGTGATAAAAAAAATTTGATAAAATGCCTCTAAAATTTTAAAACTTTGTGCATCAAATACCACCATTAAGAACGTGAAAAGAGCCAAAACCGGTTTGGCTCAGTGGATAGAGCGTCGGCCTGCGGACTCAAGGGTCGCAGGTTCGATTCCGGTCAAGGGCATGTGCCTTGGTTGCAGGCACATCCCCAGTGGGAGGCGTGCAGGAGGCAGCTGGTCGATGTTTCTGGCTCTCTATCCCTCTCCCTTCCTCTCTGTAAAAAATCAATAAAGATATATTTAAAAAAAAAAAAAAAGAACGTGAAAAGAAAAACTACAGAATGGGAGAGAATATTTGTAAATAAAATTTGATAAAGAATTTGTGTCCAAAATACATAAAAAACTTCCAAGTCACTTACATGTACACAAATTACCCAATTGAAAAATGGGCAAAATATTTGCATATTCATTTCCCCAAGGAAGATATGCAAATGATTAATAAGCACATTAAAAGATGTTCAATGCAGTTAGTCAGAAGGAAAATGCAAGTCAAATCCAAATGAGATACCACTTCACACCCACTACGATGGATTTAATAACAAACACAACAAGTATTAGCAAGAATGTGAAGAAACGAACCTCATATATTACTGTAGGAATGTACAATGGGACAGCCATTTTAGAAAGCAGATCAGCAGTTTCTCAAAATGTTAAACATAGTTACCATATGACTCAGCAATTCTACTAGATATCTACCTGAGAGAAATAAATACATATATCCATACGAAAACTTGTACATGAATGCTGATACAAGTAGTAGTCATAATAGCCAAAAAATGGAACCAATCCAAATATCTATCAACTGGTAAGTGGATAAACAAAATGTATATCTATATGACAGAATACTATTTGATAATGAAAAGAAACAAAGTTATAACATGGATGGGCCTCAAAAAGTTATGCTAAGTGAATAAAGCCAAACAAAAGGACCACTTATTAGATTACTGTTTTTATATGAAATGTCCACAATAGGCAGGACTATAGAGACAGAAAGTAGATTAGTGGTTGTCTGTGGCTGGGAGTAGGGACAGGGAATGAGTGACTGCTAGTAGACAGGAAGGATTTTTTAGGGTGATGAAAATGTGCTAACATTGGATTGTGTTAATCACACAACTCTAAATTTACTAAAAATCACTTAATTGTATACTTTAAATGATTTAATTATATGGTATGTGAATCATACCTCAATAAAGCTGTTAAAAACAAACTGATAATTAACTAGAAATAAAATGAAATTCATGAAAAGTATACACTAAAACCTATAGCACATGTTTAAATGGTGAAACTTTAGAAGTATTCTCTTTAAAATCGAAGGAGAGCCTGGCCGGCATGGCTCAATGGTTGAGCATTGACCTATGTATGAATCAGGAGGTCATGGTTTGATTTCCCAGTATGGGGTGTGCAGGAGGCAGTCAACCAGTGATTCTGTAATCATTGATGTTTCTATCTCTCTCTCCCTTTCCCTTCCTCTCTGAAATCAATAAAAATATATTTTTAAAAAATCAGGAAGGAGAAACATGCCTGATATTACTATTATTGTTCACCATTGTTTTGGGGTAGAGTGTGGCAGGGTCCTCGTTGGTGCAATAGAAGAAATAAAGATATAAGGATTGGAAAGGAAAAAATGAAACAATAGCATTCATAGATGATGTAATTGTCTATATCGGGTTGGCAAAAAGTTTCTGTAAAAGACAATGTAATAAATATTTTAGGCTTTGTATGCTATATAGTCTCTGAGCAGCCATAGACAATACGTGAATGTGTGTGGCTGTGTTCCAACAAACTTTCTATATAAAAACTAACAATGGTCCAGAGTTGGTCCACAGAACAGTTTTTATGACCCCTGGTCTATATAGAAAACTCTAGAAATTCTGCTGAGAAATTATCAGAATTAATAAGAATTAACCAAGACTGCTAGATATAAGATCAAAATGTAAAAAGCAGTATTGTTCCTAATCACAAGCAATTTAAAATTTTTTAAGTATATATTTTTTAAAAATGTTTTTATTGCCAGACCGGTTTGGCTCAGTGGATAGAGCGTCGGCCTGCGGACTGAAGGGTCCCGGGTTCGATTCCGGTCAAGGGCATGTACCTTGGTTGCGGGCACATCCCCAGTAGGAGGTGTGCAGGAGGCGGCTGGTCAATGTTTCTCTCTCATTGATGTTTCTGGCTCTCTATCCCTCTCCCTTCCTCTCTGTAAAAAATCAATAAAATATATTTTTTTTAAAAAAATGTTTTTATTGATTTTAGAGAGAGAGGGAAGGAGAGGGATAGAGAGAAACATCCATGGGCGAGAGAAACATTGATCAGATGCCTCCTACATGCCTCCTACTGGGGATTGAGCCTGAAACCTGGGCATGTCCCCTGACCAGGAATTGAACCAGTGACCTCTTGGTTCGTGGGTTGATGTTCAACTACTGAGCCACACCGGCCAGGTTAAAGTATATAGTTTTTAGTAATTAATAAATTTAGTTGGTAAACAGGAATAAGTTATAACAGAAATTTTGTATAACTTTTGTGGAGAAAATTGTAAAGTTTCATTTAAGTCATAAGACCTAAATAAAATCTATGGACTAGAAGACTCCTCTAAAACTACAATAAACATTTAAAAATAAAGGCTGTGGTAAACTCATAAAGGAGAGGAAACAGGAAAGGAAGCAATGACAATAAAATTTTTAAATCTGGAAAGTAGGTAAATGAGTGGCAACTGACTTAGCAACTTACTTTGACTTAGTACAAAGAAAGCTGAATCCTAGGCTGGCAGTGGGGAAAAGTTAAGAGCTTAAGACAACTTATACACAATCCTCAAAAATCAGAGGGATTGCCCTAATCGGTTTGGCTCAGTGGATAGAGCGTCGGCCTGCGGACTGAAGGGTCCCGGGTTTGATTCCGGTCAAGGGCATGTACCTTGGTTGCGGGCACATCCCCAGTAGGGAGTGTGCAGGAGGCAGCTGATCGATGTTTCTCTCTCATTGATGTTTCTGGCTCTCTATCCCTCTCCCTTCCTCTCTGTAAAAAATTAATAAAATATAGTTTTTTAAAAATCAGAGGGATTAGCAACTCTGGATACTCTGTAATAGAAGGGGTAGCTAAAGTAAGGATTCAAGTGAAAGATATTTGAGAACTTGTGTTTCTTTCCTTAATCCATATCACTGGGTGATTGATTGACCTTCTTCATTTCAAAAGAAGTTTCAAATTTTATCCTCTAAAGAGAATAAAATAGAGAATCTCTGTAGTAAAAGATGCAGACACAGTTAAAGGCTTTGTTACTTTACCAAAATCAGGGATACTGACTTACCATATGCCTACTGAATATTGAATTCAGAGACCCTTAGCTTCTTCCAGTTAATGAATCAAAGATACAGTAGGAGTTCCTCAAAAAATGGCTTCACCCTACATAATGAAGCTCAGCTTGTCCCAGCACTCAAGAGTTCCCAATCAGCTTTCTAGTTCCCCACTCAATTATGAGCAGACAGCTTAAGATAGACATTTGAGAAAAGCTTCTAATGTAAAGACCTACACAAATGGGGAAATATTTTGGAGGAAATAGAAACTACATAAGGAAAAGAAAACTTAAAATTTTAAAAACCTATCAATATTGTTGGAGAGATAAGAAAATACCTTTTATGCTTGAAGCATTGAATGTTGACTGAAGGATGCATCAGAGTAGAGAAATAGAAGGGACTTTTAACGAACTGGTATTGTTCTAATTCTTAACAGGAGTGATGAGTCATTGGTGTTCATTTGTCTTCAAACACCTTATATGTTTATGTACTTTTCTGTAGGTTTGATACAGTTCACAATTTTAAAAATAATTAACAAAAAAAGTAAATAAAAGGAGGAATAAAAAAATAGGCAAGGAATTAAAAAAAGAGCCAGATAGAAGTAAAAAAAAAACTATGGAAATTTAAAAACACATAGGATGGGTCAAGTAGCAGATTAGACACAACTTTAAAAAAATAGGTTGAAATACAGATATTGAAAAACTACCCAGAATGCAACAAATGGAAATAAGGAGATATAAAACATGAAAGAGCAAGTATGACAGGAGGAGAGTGAAATGTGAATGTTTCTAACATCTATTTGGAGCTTTAAAAGAATAGAGAAAATAGGTGAGAGGCAATATTGGAATAAAGATAGAGAATTTTCCAGAATATATGAATAACATGAATCTTAAGATGTAGAAAGTTAAATGAATCCCTATAAATAGAAAGAAATCCAAATTTGTACATATCAGAGTGAAAGTGGAGTACTCCAAAGACAAAGAGAAGATCAATCAGAGGGAAAAAAAAGAAGTTATCTAAAGCAACAATGAGACTGATAGCAGACTTAAAAATAGCAACAATGGAAGCCAGAACTTGGTGGAATATCCTTGATATTCAGAAAGAAATAACTATCAACCTAAAGGTATATGCTCAGCTAAATTTTTAATACAAAAGAGTAAAATAAAGATTTTCAGAATAATAAAAAGTAAGTTTACCTTAACAAAGTCTTTAAATATATATATATTAGAGGGCTGATACACGAAATTCGTGCAAGGGGCTTGGCCCTCGCAGCCCTAGCTTCGTCTGGAAGGTCGTCCAGAAGGACGTCCAGAAGGTCATTTGGCTGTCCGGTCTAATTAGCATATTATGCATATATATATTAGAAAGGAAGAATAATCTAAAAAGGAAAATTAGAGATGAAAGTGAATGGTGAGCAAAAGAATTAATCATGTGTAAGTCTAATCGTGTAATTTAGACTGACTGTAAATTGTAGTTTGAAGGGCAAAAACATGACTATCACTGAATCCTTATATTCATGATAACTCTGTTTTGTTGGTTTGATTTCTTCTATAGGTGTACAGAAGATGGGTGTCCACATAAGAAATTTTTCCACACACGTTTTCTCATGCGAATGAGATTAACACCAGATTGTTCCAAAATGTTGATCTCAACATCCTCTGGATATCTCTTGATTTTGCACGATCTTGACTTAACCAAGTCTTTAGAAGTAGGCAGCTATCCCATTTTGAGAGCAAGAAGAACTACATCAAGTTCAGGTAAGCTTTTCTTTTTTGAAGAATTTTCCAAAGAATCTCAGACATAGGGATGTTATCTTCCATTCTGAGAATGATAGCAGGAAGAAGGGAAGACAATTAAAAGACATTCTTTGGAAAGGTCAGTGAGAGCTTTTTCTCATGGAAATATAATTATCTATATGTATCTCTGACATAGCATTAATTTGTGCCTCTGATTACAAATGATCTAGGAAGAATAACTGCTAACTCTAAAAATATTTCCATTAGCATTATGCTAGCCAGAAAACCTTTCATCAGTATTTCTAAATTATCACTATCTCAAAAATTAATGATGATCTGAGGTAGTATCAATTTTTTTAAGTTCTGGAACCCACTAGAGCTTTTAAGTTATAGTCAATATGGAATTTTAGTTTTAATTCTGTAGTGTATCCTAGACTTCCAAATGCTCAGACACAGGTAGCCAGGGCCATCTTACCTCATGACCTCTAAACATCCTCTTGCTGAAGTCCTGTTCCTTCTTCTATTGCTGATTCCATCGGACTTAAGTGCAACTGGGGCTCAGAAAAATCTATGCACTATAATTTATCCACATTATGTGATAGAAACTGTATTTCATCTACCTTTGGGAAAAAGAGGGCTGATCTGGGAACATACCCACTTGGAACACATAATGTTCATAAAATGTTATTAAAAATTAGCTTCAAATGGTTAGACTCTTTCTCCTGTGTGCATAGGGCCATTTCTTTGGGAATGTGTAGGCCTCATTGTACTGCAACTGCCCAATTGCTAAAAGTAGAAATTTAGGTTTTACCAGTCTATTTGCAAGCAAGGGATATAATCCTTTTGGATTCAGATTTCTTTTTTCTGGTTAAACATTAATAATCAACTTTAGCTTTCTGAGAAGCAGTGATTTAAAGGCCTAGTTGGCATTTTGTAATTAAAAAACTAAGTAGGTTTTCTGACCTCTAAGGGTAATTCTGATACTTAATAACATCAAAAGGAGCTAATTTAATAAGAAGCTCCCACAGAAGTGTGGGGCCACTAGAAAAGTGTGATGAAAGAGATTGCTCTTTAGAGTACTACATCAAACTTAGCTATCTGATATTCATTTTATTTTCCACAGATTTCAATGTAAAATTTGTACTGCATTTCAAAGATAGTATTCACATAATTTCAAGAATGATAATAGAAGTTTTTGCTATGCTTTAAGAAAGATCTGTTCATGTTCTCGGTAATGAGCCTGTTATTTGGACCCTATTCTAACATTAAACAATGGGCTAAACAGCTCAGTTTTCACTCTTATTGATATTTTTTATTCCATTTCATTACACAAATGATGCGGAACAAATGATGCTCCTGTGTTTATTTGGTTTTTCATTTATATTTCACTTAAGCTAGTCATTAGTATAGAAGATTTTAGAAAGGGACTAGGCCTTAGATAGAACACTTCAGAGAGCTGTCCTATCTTAATCTTAATTATAATAAGCCAGTTTTAAGTGGACATGTACTTGCCATATTTCAGATGGATTTTAATAGTATGGCTCAAGTAGCTGATTAAAAAGTTAAAAGATATCACCAAAGTTTCGCTAGGTGTATTGTCAGAACTTTTTGTATTTTTAAGATCTGACCACTTCATCAAGTTCATCTGGTCCTAGAGTTTCTGGTTCACCTTGTCATCATAGTGATTCTAATTCATCTTCTGAGAAACACATGTCACGAGCCTCGCAAAGAGAAGGTAGGTTAAAAGTTGGATGTTATAATCCTGCAACAAGTGTTTCTACCAAGTAGCTTTCTTTGGTTTCTTTAATCCATAAAATGAGCCAAAAAAGATGAGGCTGTTCCTTGCCCCCCTCAGTTATCCTTTTCAAAAAGCTAAACAGGGTCTCTGGGTTTGAGTATCTTGGGCTTAAATTGTAGTTGGAGTTTAAACTTAGATTTTTATTTCCTGGACTTGGCTTTGTGTAGTTTGGAGAGGAAGTAGTTGGGAAATATAGATCCCAATCAAGGTTACTATGGAAATTAAGTGAGATTATGCATGTGACAGTGCTGTATAAATATAAGAGGATATGTTTATTAGGTGCTTGTGAAAGTCATCTGGTTTCAGCCCAGTAGACTTTTTATCTGCCATTTCCTTCTCTGAGCAATGCCGGACAGGCTCAGAGGGCTGGTGGGACAAAGCGAGCTACAATCTGGCCCTGTTCTGCTTTCCCCCGTTTTCCCCAGCCAGTCTGGCAGAGCTAGCTGCTTAGCCTGTCCCTTCCATCTTCTAATTGAAATGCTTTCTCCCCATGCAGATTTCACCTACAGTCCCTCTCCAAACTAATTCACATCTAAACTCTTATAGCACATTTTGTTTGTCCTCTTTATAGACTGATAGCCAGACAGTTTTTTTTGTAATTTGGGGTCACCTTTTGCTGATAATCATGTTTCCTATCTAGCTATTTTTGGAAAGGATTATACATTAGATTTGTAATTTGTGTTTTCCCTAGGAGGCCTCACCTTTTAAGTGCTTGATAAATGCATACTTGATTATTTTGCATGCTTATTTATGTGAGTAGAATGGTTTGAGCACCCTTCCTAACCTAACCTATAGCTTTATCCACTTTCTTCTGGATGCTGAAGACTGTGATGTTTCACTTTAAAGTTAAAAACTCTTCCTCTTAAATTTAGAGATTTATGCCCAGATGTGTAGCATTTCTTCTTTAATTTGTAGCAGAAACTTCTTTTACAGGTTCTGCCGGTTCTTCTCCTTCTTCCTTGGCTATGGGAAACAAGCCAAGGCTTTTTTTTTTTTTTTAATTGATTTCAGAGAGGAAAGGAGAGGGAGAGAGATAGAAACATCAATGATGAGAGAGTCACTGATCGGCTTCCTGCAAGCCCCCCACTGGGGATTGAGCCCACAACCTGGGCATGTGCCCTGACCAGGAATCAAACCCTGACCTCCTGGTTCATAGATTGATGCTCAACCATGCCAGCCAGGCCAATCAAAGGCTCTTAATAACCACTGAAAAAAATCTTTATTGATTAACTAAACCGTCCATGAGAAAAGAGAAAATTTAAGAAAAATAGTTCACAAGCTTGCTTGTTACTTTGGTAAACACCAAAACAAAACTATATAGCAGTTGTATGCTATGAAAAGTTACATCTGGGAGAAGAGATGATGTATTGGGAGCCTGGGCAGAGAGAACAAGAAAATTTGGGAGTGGAAAGAGAGAAGGTGGGCTTAGAGGTAAGGTTGCTCTAAATGTTGGAAACCCTGGGTCTTTAGGTGTCAGCATATGTTAGCACCATACTTTGGCAGATATGATGGCTGTAAAGAGCAGAGGCCTTCAAACTTATTTCAGGATTAAAACTATTTTTGACATGAAATTTGCTGTGGATTCTTAGGGATTTAGCACAAATAAAAGTGGAATAACTCTGGTTCAAGTGAAATTAGGGAAGCCCTTGACCTACCCCATCTCTACCTTGGTTTCCAGGTGGTTCCCCCCCTTTTGCCAGCTGTTGAGGAACCTCCAAGGAGCACAGCTTGGAAACCACTAGTTAGCTATTTAGAATGGGTTTATTTTCTGCTTTTGTTACAGATTTTCAGAATTAATTCTGGAAATAGGGATTTGTTTTTCTCGAAAATTAAAGTTTAATCACATGTGAAATCATTATTTAGGTATAATTTGGTTGTAACAGTGTAATTTGGAGCATCACAGGTTCCCATCAATGCTAGTAGTCTAAAGGGAATCTTTTAAAAGAAGGTACATCTTTTTTGAGAAACAGTTTGCAAAGGGTTTGACAGAAGGAGCTCATTATCTTCAAAGGAACTCCTTCCACAGGAAGAGAAGTGTTGAAATATTTCTCTTGATATTACACTTTTAAGCTGCTTTCTCACAATGTCTGTACAAGTGGTTCTTCACATATCCGAGGCAGATGAGGTATCCCCAGTAGTAACAATGGCTCTCTGCAGCAGTCACTTGCCTTAGAGCTACGTAGAAGGAGATGATGGGCCATACCAGAGTACCAGGAGGATGTATAATTGGCAGTGTCTCCCACCCCTTGTTTTGACATGCTTCTGTGTGAGTGTCCTTCCTCGCCTCCAAAATTATACATCTATTTTTGTTTACAGTACTGTCCTTGGTGGCCATAAGTCCCTCTCCTTGTACACATAGCCTTTTATTTATATAATGGCAGTCTTCATGGCTTCCAAGTATTTCCTTCTCTGAACCAGATCTTCTGAGATGAGAATTGTTATCTTTTACTTTTTCAGATTCCTCTCATGTCACATAACTTTGATTTTACTTAAATGAAGAGCTTTCTGAGATATAATCCAAATCAAATGGACCTCTAGTTAGTTTTAATGCATTAGCTTTAGGTCATTGGTGATTCTTGCTATAGGAACTTGGATTCTTTAGTTCTAGTCATACCCTTTCCCCATATCCTCACCCCAAAGACATACTCCGTACATTGAGGGCACTGTGGTTTTTTTTTTTTTACATTTGGTAGCATAATGCAGACAAAGGAATGA